TGGACAGTTACAAGTGAGGTTTATTCCAATAAAATCGGCTGAAGGCTGTGCAAAAGCAATTGTTAAGAGCGCCTGTCGCGGAGATAAGTACTTGACTGAACCATTGTGGATGAAAATAGCATTCTATTTAAAAGTGCTTTGCCCTGAGCTGGTGGAGTGGGTGGTGAATGGCATAGCTTTAACCCCTAGGCCTCCGACCTCGAAGAAAAGTATCTGATATTGTCCTAGTTCAGCTAAGCCTAAAAGAGAGATCTTGTGCTTATCATGACAGTTCAATATTTTTATTATAATTATTATTAGAGATCTTGTGCTTATCATGACTGTTATATTATTGTCCTAGTTAAGCTTCTACTTGAGAGTAAGGAATTTTAGGGAACAATGGAACATTATTCTTCTTTCTCTTCTTCTCCTCCTCCTCCTCCAATTGTTGCTTCCTTAGAAAAATTACCTTGCCTAGAAAAGAACTGAACAAGAAATGAGAGCTTGGAGGAGTATTTGAAAAATGCACTTTGACACTTAAATTAATAATAGAGAGAACAAGGTGGCACATAGAGTGTGGTTCAGTGGAATCCTCGATTAGAGAGTGTGCAAAGTTCAAGTGATTGGTGCTTAGCAAAATGACATTCTGGTAATTATCAACATACTTATAAGAAACCACAAGGCATATTCTTTGTTGAGTTTTTTGAGCAATAGAGAGCAAAATAAATTTAAAAGTTTTTGAAAAACCTTGCTAAGATTCTTGTAAATCTATCTACATTTAAGGGAGATATATATGTAGAATCCTACTTCCACTGATGTGTACCTCATTAGTGTGCAGCTCTAAATTTGTTGATTTGTGCCTAGAGACCAAAGTAGAATTTCTCTAGCAAAATCCACATGCACCTCTTGAGATCAAGAGAAGACCTAATTCCTCTATAGTTAGATTGAGTGATTTTGCATTTTATCTTCTCTTGAAGGTTTATTAGTTTTAGAATAAGGGAGAATTTGGGAGAAAATTCATCTAAAGGAGAATAATATAATTAGGTGCAATCACATATACATCTTAAGGATCCATTACACAACCAAGTTGATTGGCTTTGGGGTGCATAATCAATCACTTCTCTCCCTTATCCTCCTTTCATCCCTTAAATCTAGCCTCATTCCTTACTTTTTTAGTCTTGGATGACAAAGAAGGCAAAGAAAAGCCTTTCTAATATAATATCTCTTTGTTTCAAGTCATCGTATCGATTGAGATGGTGCTATTTTTTTTCTCTTATAGAGTAAATTGGAAGGGGACTCGTACAAATCAGAGCACTTGACTAGGATCATGGTATGTGATAATAGTGGTTTTGTTGCTAGGGGTAAATTTAGAGTAGCCGACAAAGCTTCAAGCACTTGTGATGGTTGTGCATGGGCAAAAAGAAGATTGTGGATGTTAGAGGTTTCAATGGTGTACACTCTGTGTAATGCCTTGAATCCTACATTAGCAAGGAATTATGAGTGAGTATAATATGTAAGTGTGGAGACTAACTACTACTAATAACTTGAGTTTAAGTTTTTGAAGGCCCATTTATCTTGCCCTAAAGAGTTGTTAGACCAGTAACGAGTTTTGGCTTGGGTCATTTTACTATAATGCTCAAGATTGAATTCTAATGAAGAAAGGCTAATAAAAAGGGAAGAAGATGGATTTCAATATCGTAAAGGAATGTGTAGGATGGTTCTTGTACTTGAAAATGAGTGGAAAAGCCCTTTTATAGTTCCTTAGAGATTTCTCTCATAGTGAATGAACTTCCGAAATTTGGTATGTTCGAGGTTCCCTATCTGCATGGGTAGTGGTAAGTGTGACATCCTTTATAGCTAGGATACATGGATATAAGACAAAAGAAGTAAGACAAAAGGAAATAAGCCCAACTTCCTCTAACACAATTGACATAGACACATGTTGCACTTCTAAGTGCATGCAAATTGACTTAGAGTGAGATCCACTATCTTTTATTCTTTGTCCTTACCTTAGCATTAGCCACCAAGATTAGATTATAGGTAAGCTAGTTAGACTAGTTGTGTAGGTTCCACTTGAGGAACTCTTCAGCTAAGAACCTTAGAGTTAAGTTAGGTAGAACTCTTCTTGATATTTAAGCAAGAGCTCTCGTTAGCTAGGCTTGAAAGATGGTTTAACTTAGGTTAGCTATTCCTTAAGACCATGCGGACCACTGAGAGGCTACCATGTGTAATAAAGGTATTTATTTGGAATTAAAACTCTTAGATATATATTACCTCTGATAAAGGTTGATGTGTGAAGTTTCACTTCTCTCTTTAATTATATTTGTAAGGAAAATTATTAATACATACTCGATTCAACATACTTTTTGACATTTATCTCAGTTTATTTATTAAAATATAATATAGTACAATCAATTTAGATGGTTTTTACATTCTGTATTTATGATTCTATCTGTAAGTTTGTCTACCTTTAATTTCATACTAAAAAATAGTAACTTTTTAATAAATGTGTTGTGCAATATATTGAACTAAAGTAACTAAAGTATATACCAATCAGTGTCTTATTTGTAATTTTACATAATCCACTCTTTTTTATACAAAAATGACATAGCTATAATGTCATTACAATTTTGATGTGTTATATTGGCTTTTTTTTATTTAGTAATCTATTTGTGATATTATATACTTTTATTTATTCAACGACACATTGCAATGATAAAGGCTTACAATCTTACATAAAATTTAAATTATATATCATTACTGTTCTTTGTATTTATCTCTTGCACTTATTTGTGTATTTTTATGCATGTGAATTCTTAATTCAAAGATTAAAGATGAGATATTCCTTAACCTTGTAGGTGTTGGACCATTGGCTATTTATTTTGATAGTAATGTTATTTATACTTTTAAGTACATATTTAATGTTTAATTTTTAATCTTAATATAAAAAAATATATGTTGAATCATTTTTATTTAGAAAATCATATTTTACAATCTAAACTTTAATAAAATAAGAACCATTAAATGAGAACAAGACTTAATATCAAAAGGATTCATTATTATCTAATAATTAATATAATATAATTTAATATATTTTAAATAAGGCTATACTTTTTATTTTAGTTATAATTTAGTTTAAATAATAAAAATTATTAGAAAACGCGAAAGTTAAAAAAATAATAATAATAAAAATAAAAAGCCTATGGTAAAGGTGTTAGCAGAGCAGAATTACAGAAACATACAGATAACAAGTGGCTCGGGGACGTACAGAATAGGAGAAGCAGCTGAGCAGTCCTAATTCCTAAAATGCAGTTTTGGCTCCATAATTTCAGCTTTTGCCGCGAACCCACGCAAAACCCAAAACTAAATCCCGCTCTCAAATTTGTTTACCCGCTCATCTTATTATCCACTGAAAATCCCCAATTCAATTGGCCAAACTCAGGAAAAACCACTACCTCCATTTTCTTTCATCTCTGCTATTTCCCCGCAAAACCCCGAAGGTAGCGTTTAACAAGTTTGATTCATTCTCCATGGCTAGCGAAACCCTAGAAGAGAAGAAACCGGAGGAGGAGGCGCCTGTTGGTTCTAAAGGGGAGTTCAAAGCGAAGGAACCAAGGGAAGACAAAGAGAAAGAAGAACTGGAAAATAAGGAACCTTCGCTCAAAGAGGCATCTCGAACATGCGAGGAGGCCGAGGCAAACAAAGAAGGTGAAGAGAAAGTGGAAGAGGAAAAGAAGGTGCAGGAGGATGGAGGAGAAGGATTGAAGGCTGAAGAGGAAGAGGGAGATCCGGAAGCTGAAGTTGAAGAGAAACTAGAGGAGGCCGAAGATGAGGCTGAAAAGGAAGATGAAGCGCAGGAGGTCGAAGAGGAAGAGAAAGAGCAGCAGGCTGAAGAGGAGGATGATGGTGAAGAGAGAACCTCAAAGAAAGCGAAGAGAAGTACACCGAAAAGGACGCGTAAGAAATCAGGTCAGGAATCAAATGCGAAGGATCCTGTTACCCCAAGCAGTGATAGGCCCACCAGGGAGAGGAAAGTGGTTGAGAGATACTCGGCACCATTGGCCGCAAGAGTGAGATCTTCTTCAAGCAAAACCTTGTCAATTGAGAAGGTATACTGTTGAAAGATTTTTCTTTTCTTTTCATTCTTCTTTTGTATGTGGGGAGGGGGGGGGGGGGTGAATGATTGTTGTGGATCACATTGTGATTTTGGTTTTTAACTGTGTGTGGATTTGCATTGCTGCAGGGTCGTGGTACACACCTTAAAGATATTCCAAATGGTATGATGTTTTCTTTTTGTATGGGCAACTGGTTACTCTAGTCATAGTTCCTAATTAATGTTAAGTTTTTTGTTTGACATACACTGCTCATCAAGCGGTTTTTTTCTTTTTATTTTTATTTTTATGAATGAATGTTAAAGTCTAATGTCATATAGATCCGCATTGTTTATGTGCATACCTATATGACCTTAGTAACACGCCATTGGTGGGTTTCACCTAGATTTTTGGTTACATGTTTGACACTGTTGCTCCTTTCCTTGTAATTATTTTACATATATTGCAACTTTTGTTGACTTTAAGTAACTAAGCACAATACATTTCAAAAGAATTAGGTTTATGGGATCAAACTTATGGCAACATGGTTGTCAAGTGGAATTTGGCCCATTTCACAATAATTGAATTTGGGTAAGAATTGTTGCATAAGTGAAGCACAAGAGAAGTTTGTATTGGTAGTCATAGAGTTTATAGTTTCTAGGAGTTTTATGGAATTATCCTCAACATTTTTTATTATGTATCTGGAATTTTCGTTATTACTATTTAGCAATTTAATGTGGTATGTCTTCAATTCCTGGGTTTAAGAAACATTGTCTATTCCTATTTATAGCCAGATGATTCAACATGGTGATGAAACGAGTAGTAGATATTGGTTTAGTTTTGGCATTTTGAGATTTTCTTTCCAACTTTAATTTTATGTGTTATCTTTCTTTTTTGCCGTGGATGAATAATGCCTTCTTCATTGTGAACATGAACTTTTAACAGTGTTGCGTGTTTTAACTCTTTTCTATTCAAACCATTGCTGTGGAATTGATTGAAATTCCTACCCTTCCTCCAACTTACCTGCCCAGATGTTATGACTCCAGTGATTAAAATTCAAGATTGATTGAAAGATTTATTTTATCATTTTAGTTTTTCGGGTAGTTTTCTTGAGAGACATAATGAATCAACTGATGCCTTCATTCTATAATTTCCATTTGCCATCTGACTCACAATATTGCCCCAGGCATCAAGAGGCATGATTTCAAAACTTTTTTTATGACAATTTTATATGCTAGATGATGCCTTTTACGTACATTAGTGCTGTTTGTGTTTATTCAACTTTGTTGTTACTGTAAATAGGCCTTTTATTTTCTCTTATATTATAAACCATTTCAGTGGCTTTCAAGTTGTCTAAGAGAAAACCTGATGATAGTCTTCAGATGCTTCATATGATACTTTATGGAAAGAAAGGAAAGGTAAAGAGGTATTATCTTGTCTTTTTTCTCTTGTTTTTGGCCTTTCTATGTATTTATTTTATTTCTTGTTTTGCAGGCTCATACTTTAAAGAGAAACATAGGCCAATTTTCAGGTTTGGTGTGGATTGAGGATGAGGTATCCTTTCTCACATTCTTTAAATCCTGCTTAATATGTTCTTTTATATATTTACACAGTATTCTTAATGTTTGTAAAGTAGCAGAACTAGTTAATCATGGGGTGGTGTTTCATAGCCTGCATAAGCTATTAATATTGCTGGAAACCATTTTAAGTCATTTTGATTCGTATATTTTCAGCAAGAAAAACAGAGAGCGAAAGTAAAGGAGAAACTTGACAAATGTGTTAAAGAAAAATTGATGGATTTCTGTGATATTCTCAATGTTCCAATGAGCAAGACCGTAAAGAAGGTCAGTAAACTGTGGAGACCTTTTTATCCTACAAAATTTGTTCTTTTCCTTATTTCAAAGGTTTTCAATTATCTCAACATGAAAAATTTTGGGTAGTATTTTATATGTATATTTTATTTTTCTATTCTTGGTCCTTTACTAGTTGATGGACTAGTAGCTTGTGTTTTTAGGAGGAACTTTCTGTCAAATTGTTGGATTTTTTGGAATCTCCTCATGCTACAACTGATGCTCTGCTTGCTGATAAGGAGCAGGTACTCTGTTATTCATTGTATTTTGCTTGTTATGTGAGAAAAGTGTTAATTATTTAGATGTTTGTGAATATTATCTTCTGCTTCTCTTGATTTAGAAAGTGAAAAAGCGTAAGGTCACACCAAGCAAGAATATCAGCCAAGGGGAATCTTCTGGTTCACCAGCAAAGGTGTGTCTTGTTCAATTGTATTCTTCTATGCATAGCCATCATGGACGAATGTGCTTGTTTAGCCGTGATTTCTATTCTTTGAACAATGGTGAATTTCTTGATGTTTATCTGCAAGTCTGTTTCATGGTATGAATTTTTCTGTTACGCAGTTGTCTTGGCTATAGCTTTGTGTATATCATTGGTTTTAGTAGATGCTATTTCCACATGGAATTTCTTCAGATGGGTCAATGGCCTTATATGATATTGTAAAATTGCTTTTTTCCTGATGCTAATACTTATTTCATTCAATAAATCTGATTATTTTTCAAATAGGATACTAAAGATAAACTAAAATGGTTGTTGTGTATGGAAAAGGTCATTGCTTGATTAGAGTCTCACAGAATGGAATTCTTGAGGCGCGTATTGACAACTGCGTTACTGAACATATTTTTGCATAAATCCTAAGGCCAGTAACATAATAAAATCTAATAAGCCTGGTAAGGATGAGAGAGCTGATAAGCACAGTGAAGAACTAATGTCCCTTAGGGTATAACTCGATGGTTTCAGCTTATGACTTCTTAGTTGCATGTCTTACATTCAAAACTTGGATGGGTGGGAAGGGGTTTGGGAAATGGAGGAGTTTATCCTCACTCTTAGTTAGATGAATGGCCCCCAAAAGATGCAAGTTAAAATAATATGTCAAGGCCCAAAATCCATGCACATCCCTCTGAAATCTTTTTGTGTTGGTCTTCCATCAGTTTTGCTTCCTAATTTCAGCTTCCCATTCCTTGAATCATGTTGCTAATTCTCTTTATGTGATTTACTCAGGAAGTTCTGAAACATGAAATGTTTGTTTTGATAATTTATTTCCTTTTACATATCTTGTATCCAGTTTGTATGTTAGGCTTTTTGGAATCTTTTTCTCTTGGTTCTTAGAAATTAGTGGGTACTTTTATTGCATTCATTATTTATTAATCAAAATTTTCCCATGACATACCCATTAACTTTCCATTATGCTTTAATTTTAGAGTTATGCTTCTTTGTGTTTCTTGTGTTTCATGCAAGGAAACTTTACTTGGTTAGGAGGGCATTAGAATTTTCTAGATTGTCAGCTTTGCTGTTATTCACTCATTAATTCCCTTAATGATGAAAAAAAAAAAAAGAAAAAAAGAAAAGAAAAGAGAAACAAACTACCAAAGGCAATTATCTTGTATTCAAGAAATAAAGGGCTTCAAATTGTTCATTTTTCTTCTTTTTTCCTTTTTCTCGCATTTGAAATTAGAATGGTTTGTCATTGTTCTTGTTCACAGCACCTAATATGGTTGATAAGTGGATTGTACCTTCATATCCAGAGCATTGAAGTATTATAGATATTTTACATGGTAAATCTGCTTGACCATCCTATAGGTATTGCACCATTTCAAACTTGAAAAATTTGTAGAATGCTAACACAGATATCATTTTATTGGTGTTGCATGGTCCCTCAGCCAAATGATATTGAGCATTGATGATTCCACTGGTTTCCATGCTAGCCAAATGACATGCTGTGTAGATATGTACTTATGAATTGACGGAATCTTTGAGTCAAATTTATAGATGGTTTTGTTTTTGTGAGTCTAAACTTGCTATTTGATATCTTACTATGTCTATACCTAGCATGTTTTGTAAAGAATGCATTGATGGCTGCTCTGTCTGAGCATCTGTGCTACATTCATAATTCTCTTATATGTGTGTTGCATTTTTTTTTACTTCTTTTGTGGCAGTTTTGATCACTGTGTTTAGTTGATGCTTGAATTGTTTATTATTCAATTTGCCCCCTATAGAAGCAAAAGCAAACCGCACAATCTGGAGAAAAGCGTAAACGAGCAGCAAAAACAGATGAAGACAATGAAAAAGATGACTCAGCAAGCACTAAAGGTGATCTTCATGACGAAGAAGATGGTACTGCACCAAAAGAAGTGAGTGCTCATGAGAAGAGTAAATCAGGGGAAGATGAAGATGAACCAGAAGAGAATAGAAGAAGTTCCTCAAAAAAAATTGTAAAGGAGAGCTCGGGGTCTAAAAGCAAGGGCAAATCTACACCTGGAAAGAAGGCCATGCCTGCAAAATCTACAAAAGCTTCTGATAAACCTGCCAAAAAATCATCTGGTACAACTTCAAAACAAGGTTCTACCAAGGCTGATGGAACTTCAAAAGGATCTCTGTCAAAAAAACAGAAAGTTGAGAGGGAAGGTCTAAAGGGCTCAAAAGACAAGGTGGCTGGCAAGAAGCAAACAGGCAAATCACCAGTAAAGGATTCCACCAAAGAAAAAGGTATGTGTTTTTTTGCTTCCCGTTTGAATCTTCCAGTTATATCTTCAACAAGCTTAGTGTTAAAATTGGTGCTGTATATGTGACTTCTGAGATTTCTTGTGAAATAATGTGCTTGTATTAGTCGTTCTACACATGCTTTCCTGTAAAATCTGAATTTGGATTTCTAATGGACAAGGACAATCCTTCAATAGGAAATGTGGACACTATTTTTTTGAAATAGAGGAACTTCTGTCTTTACTAATGTCGGTGCCTATCTATTATGACTTTATGCACGTATAGGTAAAGCCAAATCCTTCAAGAAACCTAAACCACAGCCTAGCAGAGAAGAGATGCTTGCAGTGGTTGTTGATATTCTTAAGGAAGTGGACTTCAATACGGTAGATAGCCTCTATTCCCTTGCATTTCAGAGATAAAAATTATTAAAGTCCATTGTTTTATTAATTTCTGTTCCTGATGCAGGCAACTTTATCTGATATTCTTCGGAAACTAGGTAGGTTTATTTTATGTAAAGAAAAATGATTTAGAGATAATTTTTTTAGACAATCTTATGTATCATTTAAATAATTGATTTTTTTTATTTATTTAAGATTTGTGATATTAAGTGTATTAACTCATTTAATAATATATAAAAATTATATAAAAAAATTGTATAAAAAGGTTATCTTTATATCACTATCCTTGTTTAAATGACAAGTGATAATGTTTTTTTATTTAAAGCTGACTAAGTATGAGAATCATTTGTTTTTTAGGTCAACACTTTGATGTCGATCTGATGGACAGAAAAGCAGAGGTGAAGGATATTATTACTGAAGTGATAAGAAATATGTCTGATGAAGAAGATGAAGGCGAAGAAAGTGAGGAGGATGGGGATGATAAAGATGGAGATGGTGATGATGATGATGATGATGCTTAGGTCTTTTCTTTCTTTTATAGAATCTTGAAGAACATGTAAGGGATGTGCAGTCACCGGTTATAATCTCTCCCCTGGCTGTACTTCAGCAGCACTTTTCATTGTCATAAATTTTAGTCATTCTTGATGTTCAATAGGTTTTTGTTTACCAATAGACATTTGTAGCTCCTTGTACAAGTAGTCTGTTTCTGACCTGGCCTTAAATTTTTCACTTGTTATTTTTTGGTCCCCTCAGCTTTGCCGGTACTTAGTCTTTTACATTGAAAATTAGGCGTGCGCATCCGGAAACCGAACCAAAAAAATGAGTTTGGTTCTACTGTTTTGATTTTAATATTAACCAAATAATTTTTGGTTTGGTTTCGGTTGAATTTTTTACAAACTAAAAACTGAAAATAGGTTTTTTGAAAATCGAAATTTAAATAAATATGATAAAATATAATAAAATATAAGGTAAAATATAATTTATTATCGAAAAAAATTGATTAATATTTATTTAATAAAAATTAAAATCGAATTAATTTTATTGGTAATTAAATCAATTGGTTTGTAAAAATTTTGATTCGATTTCAATTCTCAAAATTCAAGAAAAAAAAATTTGGTTATTTTAAAACTAATTTGGGTTTCAATCAAAATCGATTTTTGCACACCCCTATTGAAAATTGTTACTTGTACCTTACATTGAAAATTGTCACTTGTACTCCAAGATTGACAAGTGAATATGCTGTTTGTATTTAGTAATTGCAATTGCTTGTTGCGATTTAAATCCATGACTAGAAAGTTTCTCAACTCAATTGTGAGGTTTTTTTTTTTTTTTTTTGATACATGTAGAATTTAAGAATTAAAATCTAAATTTGTAATTAATAAATAATTTTATTATATCATCACATGCTTGATGGTGTTATCATTGATTATAACATCAATATTTTAGATAATCTTTTATAAATTAAAAGAATACTTAACTGGATGATACTTACTAGTTTAGTTGTGCTCTCAAAAAACGATCCTCCCCCTGCAATTGTTAAATCTTAATGATCATCTGTTTGAAAGATCTTTTCCTATTCTATCTTGAATCTAATCAAGGAGTTCTTAGTCCGATTTAAAAATACTTTTTTGTTTATATAAATTTGGGTTTCCTTTTGCATGAGATTTATATGCTAGCTTCTCATCCGTGTTTTTTAGATTATTTTTTATATGGCCTAAATTGGATCTAACCCAGGTGTTTAAGGTTTTCACAAGCATTTTCCAGATTCTATTCTTTGTCGCGCAAAGTTTCAGTCGAGTAAGTTTACATGCTGACTGTTGCAGTTCTGCGTTGAGATATAAGGTTGGGTGTAGGGTTGTTTTCAACTTAACCCATTTAAGTTTGAACGGGTAAACAAAAGAACCCCCTTTTTTTTTTTGTGTTTTTTAATGAAGATTTTGAACTGACAGCTATTTAATAACAATAACTATTTGTACCTTTGTGATATTAAATATCATTTTGCCTTCGTACTAGCATAAATCATTATTTTTTTCGTTTAAACATTGGGAGGGCTCAAATGAAACTCTCTAAACCAATAAGATTATTTGATTTTGAGAAGCTTGTCACGTATGTTTAGGAAACGGAGCAAAATTTCGTGTCGATTTGGTTTATCCATTGTTCTACGTCGAAATTCTGTATCCTTATTAATTTGTAATTCACAATAAAAAACTCTAGTCAGATAGGATTTCCTGGAAGATGATAAAGCCCAGATGTAAACTTTTGTTTAAAAATACACATCTAACAGAAGTTGGTTAAGTAACCAAATTCTGGAGGCCAACACTTCAGGCTAGCTGGCTGGTAAAGTTTTGGTTCCCAGTCCAGTGACATTTACCTCCCTAACCCACCTCCACAGGTTCTAAACCCAAAACAACTGTAAACATTAATCATTTCTTTAATTTCTTCCTCTAACTCTATGTTGTTCCTTCACTCAAACCACAACCTATTTCACTGTAGCTTATTGCCCTGGTTCCCAACAATTGCGAATTTTGTCAAAAGATTCGTCCTCAAGCCTTTACCACACAACTTTCATTGTTCTTCCTATATAACATCTATGTGCAGTCCACAGGAAAGCAAACATTAACATTGTCATCAATAATTTGAGGTAACTATTCTTATTCAAATCCTTGTATTTGCGTTTTCTCTACTTTAATATGCTTATTTTCTCAAATATGTGTGCAGGTTTGATTTCCAATGGCGGATGTTAACAACGATACCTTTGAGTTTACCATCAAGAAAGGCGAGCCAACTCGGGTTCCTCCTAATGAAGAGACAGAAAAGGGTCTCTACTTCCTCTCTAACCTTGACCAAAACATTGCTGTCATAGTCCGTACCATTTACTTCTTTAAATCGGATACGAA